AGGAAGTGGGTGTGGGTGCATGGGGGGAAATTAAGAGGTCTTTCAATGCCATGTAATGTTCCCAGGACTTCCTCTTTATGGGTGGGCATGTTCCAAAGACCAAACTCTGTATTTCATGTTTGTGTGCTAAGGTAATAATGTAAGGAATGGCAGTAATCCAAGGCCTGGGAGACATCATTCTGAAGGGGATAAGTCCCAATTCCTAGAGAAAGCAGAGCATCCTAGAAGCAATGTTATTTGTAGAATTGCCCTTCTCCACGCTAGGGGTATTTCTGTCTGAATGCTCTTCACAGACATTAGGATCAGGTCACCCTCTACTCTGAGAACTTTATTGGCATTTTTTTCTTCCTTGGTTGTCTTTTTTAGAGTCTGTGTGGGTCATTGCCTTTCTTTTATGATAACTCATTCAGTCATTACAGATTAAATCACAGCCCTTCTTGGTTTACTGAAAATTCAGAATCCTTAATAGGCTTTGCAACCTATCAAACTGATTGCTGCCAATACATCTTCTCCTCCACCTTTTTTTTTCAATACTAGGGATGTAACTCAGGGCCTTTAACACTCAGCTACACCCCTGGCCCTTTTCTAACTTCTAAAAATTTTCACATAGTGTCTCCCTACATTGATAAAGTGTACAAGTTGGGCTCCAACTTGTGATCCTCCTGCCTCAGCCTCCCAGAGTGTTGGAGTCACAGGTGTGTACCACCTCAACACAGATCCAAATTCTTTAGCTCATGCTCAGTCCTGGTTTCCTAGCCCCGTATGCCCCAATGCTGCCCTTGTCCTCCCCCACCAGCACATCTACCACAAAGACTGAAAAGGTCTTTTCCTCTGCTGCCAGAGTGGGAAGGGGCATGTGAACCTCCCATGGACAATTAGCAAAAACTACCACTAACGCATCTGTGCACTGGAGCTCGAAGCAAGTTCATTCTGTGTGACGGCTTCCCACAGTATTGATTTCTTCCAATTTAAGGGAATGCCTACATCCTAGAATACATTGGAGTTCTCCCTGTTGAGAAACAAGTCCTAGATATGGTTTGTAATTATTTATTTTTGACCCATTCAGATAAGCCTAAAATCATAATTATGGTGGACATGAAGGTCGCCCCGCGTCTGAGTCTGCTGGTGAGAAATATGCAACTAGAACAGAAACTCCAGAAGGAAGACATCGGAGCCCATCAGCGGTTCCCCAGGGGATGCAGAGGGGAGAACAGGTGCGACTGTTTGAAAGATATGGAGCCTACTTTGAGGATGGGGGAAAGTTTTGGAAATACACAGAGGTGGTGATTGGAAAACAGTGTACATCTACTAAATGCCACTCAAAAACAATTCATTTGACGTAATGATTCATTTTATGTTATGAAAATTTCACTTCCATTTGAAAACTACCCAGATTTACTCAGAAATATCTGGGAACTCAAGAGCCAGGCAAAGGCCCGGGGCATCCTTGTTCCACCAGCACTGAGCTCAGTCAGCTGCTCTGGACTGTTGGTCTAAGCAGAGCCGAACCGGGAGCTGAAGTGCAGCGGCAGTGGGTGGGGAGGGGGCCTGGGACAGAGGAGAAGCACCAGACAGCAGAGGGAATTCTTCTGCCAATGGCCCTGCTGGTGCAGGGACTGAAGGATACAGCAGGTCTGTTACAGAAACCAATTGGCTGAAGTAGCAACACTTTATACTCTTACCACATACTTAATAAGCCTTGGGGGGGCTGTACTGGGGACTGAACCCAGGGCCTTGTTCATGCTAGGCAGGGACTTGACCTCAGACCCACATCCTGGAACTTTCTTCCCTTACTTTGAGATAGCGCCTCCCCAAACAGCCCAGGCTGGTTCCTACTTGCAATCCTCTTGCCTCAGCCTTCAGCTGGGTGGGATTATAGGTGTGCAGCCCAGATCCCACGTCATGGACTTCATCATTTTAAAGGTGCCGAACCTTTGAGCGTAGGATCTTAATAACCCTCAGGACTGCTCACGAGGCAGTCAGTTCACAGTTGAGAAGCTGTCTGTTTAGGATCATGCAGCTAGTGAGTACCAAGTTGAGGCTTGCACTGCAACAACTACCAATTCCTTTGTGTCACACTGAATATAATGCAAAAATGTAGGCTTTCTTTCAGTCTATAGTTATATTGATTTGGGGGTTAGATGCCCCATTCACATGTATCGAATTTTTTTTTTTTTTTGTACCAGGGATCAAACTCACCAGCTCACACTTGCCAGGCAGGCACTGGGTGAAAAACACTGTTTTGCTTTGGGGTTTTTTGTTTGTTTTTGTTTTTTCCAGATATGGTCTTGCTATGGTGCTCATGCTGGCCTTGACTTTGCGACTGTCCTCCTGCCTTAGCCGCCCAAGTGCTGGGATTACAGGTGTGTGCCACACTCCACTTCTTCCACCTAAATCTTACCATTTTCAAGGTTAGATGGGTAAATCAGATGCAGTGGCAAATCCTTTAATGCCTGCGACTAGAGAGGTTGAGGCAGGAGGATCATAAGTTCAAGGCCAGTCTTCTCAAAACAATAGGCACATTTGTGCAAAATGTGAAGGGAAGAAATATTTTTCTGTACCATTCTCATTACCTTTTGTTGTAACTCCTCATGTTTCACCATTTGAGACTGAATACATTAGGAAATAGTGCACAGTTGCATAGTTGATACCTTAATACCCATCAGGCCCCAAGTACAATTCAGGTTATTTTCCATTAAATGCACATACTTTTGGGGAGGACAGTGCATAATGTAAGTACCATTGTTGCCCCCTAATTGATGTGTTTTGAAATTTTATTTTAGTTTCTTCTTCTTCTTGTCCTTCTTCTCCTTCTCCTTCTCCTCCTTCTCCTTCTCCTTCTCCTTCTCCTTCTCCTTCTCCTTCTCCTTCTTCTTCTTCTTTTCTCCTTGAAATAAAATGGATTTGAAAAATAAAAATAGTAAATAAGTAAAAGTATCTCCTGGGCTGGGGATGTAGCTACAGGTAGAGTACTTGGCTGGCTGATTCAATTACCAGTGTGGGGGTGGGAGGAGAAAGGGGAGAGAACAGAAAAGGAGAGGAGGGGAGAGGAGAGGAGGAGAAGAAAAAGAGAAGAGAAAGAATTTCCTTGTATTTGTTCAAGCTCATCCATTACACTGGTGGGGTGAATCTCACAGAATTTTATGCGGGCATCCTGACTTTTGATCATACATTTTTACCTGAATTTAATCATGCTCTCCCACAATGCTGTACAGTACAAATTTACAATTGGTTAAATGCACAGAAGAAAGCAAAAAAGAAGAAAGAGGAGAAGAAAAGAACTGCAGGACCTGAAGTTAGGAAGAAACTAGAACCTTCCTCAAACTGATTGGCCAAGTTGAAAAAACACAAAACCATTATCAACTACTTTATAAAAAAAAAATAGTAAGTGGCTTGAGATAAAAGGAAGCTCAATTTATTAACAGGAAGCTGTGGGCTCTGCATGTCTATTCATTAAAAACAACATTTGCTTTTTCCGTCGCGGGTTCTGCCCAGAAGTTGTCTTACTGCTTGCTGCTTCCGGTGCTGCTTGACTGGTTTTGTTAAAAAAAAAAAAAAAAAAAAAAAAAAAAAAGGCAAGAAAGAGAAAACACTGTGGCTCCCGTTTGTCTCTCCCACAGAGAACCTGACCTGACACTTTCCCTGCTGCTTGATAGTGAAAATGCTCAGCCACCAAGAACGCTGAATGGCAGCAAGCATCAAGTTTTTAACCAAACCCTCCTTGGAGCTGACAAAACCTAAGGACATCCGCCTCCTCCTGCTGTGCTCCCGGCTCCTCCCTTCCATCCTAAGTTTCCCATCTCTCAGGACCCTCCCCCCACACTTCCCAAATGCACTTGGAGTTAGGAACCGGAGAGCCCCGTCTTCCTGCCCTGGATGCTGCCTGTCGTCGTCCACCGTCCTCTCTCTTGAGTTCTCCGCAGGAGAGGGACCAAAGGAGGAGGAACCTCGGAGTGCGCGGTCACCTCGCTTTCTGACCAGATGTGCAGTATTTGGTTAAACATTTCACTTTTGCCTCAAACACTCTGAAGCTGTGAGGAGCTTGCGGTCTGCAGCCACTAGCCCACTGCTTGATGTCACCGGAGTAGGAGCCAGAGGTGAGAAACCAGCTGGTGTTTGCACCATCCACACTGAGTCAGAATGAAACTAAGGGAAAGTGTGAGCTCTGGTGAGCACAGCTCCGCACACTTGAGCTTCCAGCTTGCTCATTCCAGGAGAACGGAGAGTTTTCTTGAGTCACAGGGATGAAATGTGGGTAAAGTCAGGCTCACAGTGGAGTCAGTTCAATTTGGGAGGAGAAAGTAAGTGCCAGCCTTCTCAGTAGGGAGATGGGGCTGTTGCCTGCACAGGAGGTCAGTAAAGCGTTCAATCCCTGGTGGATATGTTTACCAGACCCTTTCATTCCAACACTGAAGATCCGTTGTTTAATGGAACATAATTAATTTCCCTTAAAATACAAATTCCAGGCCTGAGGAGGTTCCTCAGGGGAGAGTGCTTGCATAACTAGTGTGAGGCCCTGGGTCCAATTAGCAACACCAACAACCAACAATAAATAAATAAATAAATAAATAAGTAAAAAGTGTAGAGAACATTAGAAAATGAGAAATGGTAAAACACAGAAATTCAGACAAAAGTAAGAGTACACCCTGAAACTTCGCCTAGTGAGACTGTCAAATTGAAAAGGGCAGAAAAGGAAAAGGGCCCATATCTGGAGGAGGGAAAATAAATTGGAGATGTTGTAGGGGCAGCAGCAGAGTTGTGAAGGGTGGAACAGAGAACAGAGCAGAGACACCGGAAAGATCCTGGTGCTAGGTTTGGAAGTGGGTTAAAAGAGCACAAATTGGCTGGGAATTTAGCTCAGTGGCAAACAAGTGTCTGCCTGAAAAATGCAAGGTTCTGAGTTCAATTCCTGGTACCAGAAAAAAGAGCATAAATGTAGGTCTTTCTTGTAAACATGGACAAGAAGAGAGAAAGCAATAACCAGACCAAAGGCCAGTGTATTCTGAGAGGAAATGGTAAAAATTCATTTTTAAATATTTAATTTGCAATACATACACCACAGTGCTACCCACTGGAGATGTCAGACATATCTCCTTCAATAGGCATCAGAGAGTCCTGCTCATGAGAACTTTGTTTTTTCTTTTTTGTATTTTCTCAACTTCCAAGAACAAAGTGACTTTTAAAAATGTTTCCTAAAATAAACATTGAATTGATTTATTAGTTGTTGATTATCATGTTAAATATACAGATGTATGGTGAAAGAGTTGCTGGCCCAGACCGGACACTTTAACCAGGAGAAGCCTCAGCCAAATTAAGGAGCTCCTGCCTCCCCCGCCCCTTAGAGATTTACCTGTAACCCTATACCCCTGCGCTTAGTAACCTACCTCTGGCGCCAAACGTGTGCCAATGGGCTACCTGTGAATACCTAATACCCCTTAGGGTCCACCCCAGACAGAGGCTACTTGTGGGCCTCACTCCACGTGTTCAAGAGAGAGAGTGTATTCCAGAGAGAGCTCGCGGCCCCGGAGTGGAGATGCTGCGCCCCGGGGGGCTGGGGGGGTCTCTCCCCGCATTCCCAAAATAAAGGTTACTTATATTTTATACTTCTTATCTTTGCAGCCACCACCGTCGGCCACTCCACTCCTTCCCCACTCCTTCCTTCCTTCTCCATCCCCCCTTTCTCAGACCTAACATATGGCACAGTGTACTAGTTCAGTACATGTCTGTAGCATGCAATGATCATATCAAGGTAGTTCATATTTCCGTCTCCTTAAACTTTTTGCTTACATTTTTATTAACATGCAATCACTGCATATTTATGAAGCATGTGTTCAGATTTCAATACATGTACACTATATGCACTGTTCAAATCAGTTTAATCGTGCCAGTCGTGATGGCACATGCCTATAATACCAGCACTCAGGAGGCTGAAGCAGAAGGATTGTTGTGAGGCCCATGTCAGTCTGGGCTACAAAGTGAGTTCAAGGCCAGCCTGAACTGCCTAGTAAAACTCCATCTCACAAAGAAAAAAAAATCAGGTTAGTTAATATCCATCTCGTTACTTCAAATTTGGAGCATTTTGAAGAAATTCTTAGAAAATCTGTGCCCATGGTGTCTCAACAGTCACTACAACATTTTTATTATATTTACATATGAATATATTTAATTCTAGATACTATGTGTAGCAGAGATTATACGAATTGGGGTTTTTCTCTTTTACCAGTTGTGCAAATCGCATTGAACTGAAATTTTTCCTCTCTCCTTTCTTTCATTCTTTCATGGGGGGGTGTGATTGTTTTGTTTTTTTCTTGTTGGGTTACGGGCATTGCTCATGGTAGGCAAGTGCTCTGCCTCTGCGCTACAGCTCCAGGCCGTAAGTTGTTCAGCAGCAAGAACCCAGTCATTGCCAGGTGTCCTGCCACGTGCCTACAATTCCTACTACTTGAGTCAAGAGGACTCAAAGTTAGAGGGCAGCCTGGGCAAGTTAGTGACATCTTGTCTCAAAATAAAATAAAAAGGGCTGAGGATGCAGATCCTTGGTAGGGTCCTTGCCTGCATTCGATCCCCAGCACTATAAAAGAAGAAAAGAATCTGAGCCTCATTTCACTAGTTTCCTCAGCTACAGAAAGGAATCCAACCCCTACTGTCATATGTAACCTTTGTCTCCTAGTTCCCATGTGAATTCCACTGGCTTCTATGGAAAGTTTTTATTATTCAGAAGGAAGAGTTCTGAAGGAAGAGTTCATGGTAAATGCTTGTCATTTATTAAAATGGGATTTTGGTGGCAGGGAGAGTAGCTCAGCAGCAGAGTGTGTAGCATGCAGGAGGCCCTGGGTTCAACCCCAGGACTGCACTGGCTGCGTTGCTGGACTGCTGTCCATACCTAGGGCAAAGCAAGCATGCAGGCTTGCTGTGAATGTGGTTGGTGACAGCATATGTAGGCTCCAGTGCATCCAAACCCAGAGATTCATAGAATGAAACCCTTAAAACAAAATATGAGGAAATTAAACCAAGGCTCATCAGAAAAATACAGCTCTACCTGAGGCTTCATGGTTACGGAGAGAGCCAAGGTAAGTGACTTTTTCCCCTTTCGTTTTAAACATTAGGTAAGTTTTCTGCTTGCCTATTGAAGTTTGGATCCATCCTCCCTTCTTAGGACCCAGTCAGAATATTCTAGAAGGCACTGGCACAGGAAGCTGTACCTGTGCAGGGGGGAAGTGGTGATGGGGAACAAGCACAGTTTGAGGGAAGTCAGAAACATGGGTGCAGTCTCAAAAGAAGTTTAACTTGCTTGGTGGAGGAGGCCACCTGCAGCACGTGAATACTAATAATACATGATAATAATAATAATAATGATGATGATAGTAATGAATAATACATGAATCAGAAAACCAGGCTTCATTCCCCATCCCATTTCTTTCTTTCTTTCTTTCTTTCTTTCTTTCTTTCTTTCTTTCTTTCTTTCTTTCTTTCTTTTAGACTAGTCAAGTGCAGTAGTGAGAAGGGGAGTAAGAGTAGAACAAGGAGTTCAATCTGAACTGACTGTGAACAATCAATTGAGATAACTCACTACCTTCGGACCAGCCCCCCACCCCACTTCTTGATGGGACAAAGGCATGACAAACTGAAATTTAGAGTGCAAGGTCTATAACCAGTGTTGTCCTCTCTCTGTAGCCCCAGCCTCCAAGTGTGGCAGAGCACAATCCTAGGTCTTCATGTATTTATGCAAGATTATAAAATCCTTGGCTGTGTTGGACAGTCTCGTAGGACCATAAAAATTACCATCATACCTCTCCTTAAAAGACCTCCCAGGCAGAAGTTAGGACAATCAAAGCTAAACATTTAAAATGAATATGGAGGAATGATGGGAGGTTGATCTAGAAGCCAGAAATGCAAAATAGTTGAAGCTCTATGGCCAGCCAAAATAGGCAAGAACAGCACTTCCACCTAAGATCTCGCTCCAACACATTTAATGGTTAAGATTATTAACCTAAAAGGCCGGGGCTGTAGCTCAGTCCTAGAGCTCTTACCTAGCATTCGTGAGGCCTTGCAGTCAATTCTTAGCACCGCCAAATATATATATATATATATATATATATATATATATATGAATGCAGTGATAGCATATCTAGGCTCCAGTGCATCCAAATGCAGAGATTCATAGAATGAAAACCTTAAAAGTAACAAAAGATGAGGAAATTAAACCAAGGCCTAATGCAAAAATATATACATATACATATACATATACATATACATATACATATATGTGTATATATATAAATTTTGTTCTCTTCTGAAAACAGTATGTAGAATGTTTCTCCAGTCAGGAAGTCATCACGTATCCACTGTGCCTATGATTTTGGGAAGCAGCAAAACTATGTAACAATTACATTTAAAGTACTGAAAACAGAGATAAATGTTATCAGACTCTGAAAGCTTAGGGAGCAGAGGCAACAGCTAGACACTATAGGAAGACTGACTTAGGAAATAGTGATGTCTCTGGATTAACTGACAGCAGATGGAGAAGCAGAATTCCCATGTTCCGGCTTTCTTCTTCCTTGATGATCACAGTCCAGAGGTCACTGCGAATCCACATTGTCACAGAGAGGAAGTCGGAAGTAGCTGGAGCGGCGGAGTCGCCTTGGGGGCAGACCTGCCCTCTGCCGGCACAGCTCATCTGCAGGGGAAGCAGGTATCAGGTTGGGGGGATGATGTAGGAGACAAAGGAGGGCTCTCATTGGAAGGGGAAGAAAAGACTACATTGAAGAGAACATTGAAGAGAACAAGATCTGGGTAAGACCTCAGCTCTGCCACTTACTAGTCACTTACCACTTACTAGAAAGTTCCTTTCCTTCTATGCACTTCAGCATCCCTCTCTCTAAAATAAGCATGAAAATGCCCACCTCCACAGTGTATCTGTGAGTACTGATGTGCGCCAGGTGCCTAGTGCAGGTGGTCAGGGAACGGTAGTTTCCTTTCTACCCAACTCCCCATTCTGCTAGTCATGGACCTGCTAAGTGGAAAACAGGGTCCAGTCATTCCATGTCCCTTCGGTGTTTACTGTGTGCAAACAACTAACTTTAGCAAGTCCCTTGAGACACCTGAAAGTGTCTATTGTCCCAAACACTCATCTTCTGGCCTGAGGTGGTTCCCCAGCAGGTGGCTCGCACAAATCACCAGGGGCCAGCAGCAAGTTTTCTCCAGCAATGGTGAGTCCAGCTCTTACTCAGTAGCTCAGAGCCAGGCAGCTGCTGAGTCAGAAGGGGCTGTGTCTGTGGCCTTGTCCCCGACCGCAGCCCAGCTTTGGGGCTGTCCATGGATGAGGTGAGAAATGTTTGTTCCCACCACACATGGTCTATAACCACACTTAGGACCCTTGTAAAGTGTTCTTACAAAGTCTTTCTACCTCGGCAATTTCACAGAAAGCAATGCACATGCTTCCTTTCATTGTTGAGCTGTTTATAAGGTAGTTGATTTCTAAATGCCCCATCCACAGTGTATGTTTTGTAGACCTTATCCAAACCTTACCATCTCCAAATGCACTGGAGGCAGGAACGTGTACGTGGATCCTTTTCCTGGGGGTCTTTAAAGCAGCAAGAGCTTTAGAAAACTCTACAGAAGCACAGGGTTTCATGTCATATGAAAGGCATCCAGGGGTCCAGCAGTTTTGTTAGGGGTGTGTGTGCATGAAACACAATCCTGGCCTTGTTTTAGGGGCTGGTTTCTGCAGGGGCTGATGGGAGTTAGTGAAGCTGAGGCTCCCCCAAAACCAGACCTGAGATGCAACAGCGCCATGGCCTTGTTTATCATCCCCAAATCTGTCGTTCCCCTCGTACACTCAGACACCATCTCACCTTTCATGGCCTCGTGCTCCTTGCAGACAAGCCGGGAGCAGATTTCATTGTTGATGATGTACGTGCGCCGTACACTGCCGCCATCCCAATGTCACCCCAATGTCATGGTGAGAAGAAGACAGAAAAAGCCATGAGAGGGAGAACTAGCCTAGGCCTAGGATGCCTCTTCAACTCACGTGTTCCCCACCCATCCCTATCTGATGTCCCTAAGCCTTCAGGCTTCTTCTTTCTTCCTCTTCTACAGAGTGGAGGAGACGGAATGTGTTACACACCATTCTTAGTGCAACTTTCCCAGACTGTTTAGTGTCGAGCTGAGTGCTCCTTTCTGTTCTTTTCTACTTTTGGGACCAGGTCTTTGCCTCAGCCTCTTTCTATCAGGTATTAAATCAGAATACCAGTGTTCCCTCCTGCAGCCCCATCTTCACAGCCTGCTAGCATCTATCAGCCAGCCCTCACCCCAGATTCCAGCTGCTAGCCAGAACCTTGAGGAACAGCTAGGGGGATTATGCTAAAATCTTCTGCCCATCAAAGATTGCAGTTTCAGCCTGGTGTCTATAGTGCTAGTACTGTGAAAGGTTGAAATAGCAGAACTGCAAGTTTGAGCCCAACACGGGCAATTTAATGCCTTGGCAAGATCTTGCCTAAATAAATAAATAAATAAGGCTTGGGGATGTAGCTCAGTGTGGGTGGATTCAGTCTCTGGTACTCCCAAAATACTAATAGAAATAGTAACTGTCATTCCATGGTGAGCACACACTAAGTGGATACTGACAGGAAAATACTACTCAATGAGGAAGGACCTCCCAGGGCCTCGTGCCTCACCTGGTGAAGCAAACCTGGTGGACACACTGCCTGACTGGCCGATGTACCGAGTACAGTCTTGTGCAAGCGAATTTCTCATCCCGGCACTCTGCAGGAGCACAGAACAAAGCACAGGGAGATCAAAATTGGGCAGATGAAAACAGAGGCTTAGAGGCTGGGGGAAAGGAGCTAGAGTGGGGAGAAACACCCAGCAGTCACCACAGAGGGCCACACAGCCGGGGGTGTGTGCTCCCAGGTCAGGGGAGGGGAGGGGAGTGGGAGGGGGAAAGAGAGGAGGAGGAGAAATTGACTCAGATGAAATTTAGGTGCTTCCCTACCTGCAAGCAGAAGAGCATAAAATAATCTCCATGAGCTCTTCTAGGAAAAAAGGCTTTCTAAGATTATTCAGGTGCAGTCGGAAATATTAAACCGAAAGACTGATGATCTCATTCTGGAGAATGAGCGTTCCTGGCAGGCCTCTCTGTGCTCTTCCAGCTGTTTCCACCCCAGCTGCAGATCAGAATGATCAGTGCGTCTTGTATCTGTATATATAGGGTATATATCTTATACCTGTAATGTCTAGGGTGATATGAGTCTCTGCCATCAAACTGATTTTATTTACAGTCTATTACCCACTTAATAAAGTTCAGAGGTAGGAGAAAAAGAAGGTTTGGGGATCATTCACCATGGTCTCCTCTTTCCCCAGTGACTTTTAGGGCAGGGCTCATCTGAAACAGGCAAATAAACAAGACTGAGGGTGGGGAGGGAAGAGCACTAAAAACGCTCTGTGAGGAAGAAGTAGAAATAAGCCAGATGGTGAACAAAGTGCTGTCTAAAGAATCAGGAGGTGGCTGGGGGTTGAGCTCGGCCACTTAAACACTTGCCTGGTGAGTGCAAAGTTGTGAGTTTGATCCTTGATACCAAAAAAAAAAAAAAAAAGAAAAAGAAAAGAAAAAAGAAAAAAAGAAATCGGGAGGTAAGGGGTCCACAGGAAAAAAGAAAAGCCTAAGCAAAAGACATGAAAAAAGTAACCATACCTGCAGTGGCGTTTTTATCATTGGTCGAAGCTGGAAAGCAAAATTTTATTTAGTTAGTACTAATTCTAGAAGTCACCATCTGTAACTGACATTGTCTTTTTTGGGACCCCTTTGTGGTAGTCATGAATAGGGAAGGAATGAGTTAATAACTCAACAGAGTCTAAAAACCTCTATGGGGCTGATTGGATCCACATAACTGAAGAGATTGCTGTGTTAGGATAGAATTTTGTGGGCCTGGGGATTTAGCTCAGCAGCATAAGCACCTGACTTGCAAGCAGGGAGTCGTGAGTTCGATCCCCGGTACCAATAAAAAAGAAAAAGACAAAAAAAAAAAAAGGATAGAATTTTGCCTTTTCCCTGTTTCACAATGAAAAAATTCATTGCGTAGTGAAAATCTTTGTAGTTTTCATAAGAAAAAAAAAAAAGCAAAGTGGAGTGTGGTGCACACACCTGAGGTTCCAGCACCCTGGGAGGCTCAGATGGGAGGACTGCAAGTTCAGATCCACCCTGGCCAAGACTTGGTGGCTTAGTGAGACTCTGAATGAAAATAAAATATGACCCAAAAAGAGGAGGGCATTAGGAACATAGCTCAGAGCAAAGGCCCTGGGTTCAATCCCTAGTACTGAAAGAGCCAAAAATATTTTTTTTTTTTAAATTTTAGAGAAAGTGTTTCATATGTTGCTCAGGGTGACCTCCAACCTGGGGGAACAAGTGATCCTTCTGCCTCAGCCTGCTAAGTAGCTTGGACTATAGACATGTGCCACCATGCCCAGCAATAAGCAAGTTTGGTAAGGACACCAAGCAAAGAGCCACATGCCCCAAAGAGCCTCACCCAGGCACCAAGGAGAAGACATCACTAGAGAGCAGAAGGTTCTCCTTAGGGAGAAAACGTCTTCCTATAGTCCAGATGCATCGTCATGGGATATTTGCTAAGAGTATAGGGAGGGTCGTGTCCTTAGCTGAACCTGACCTTAGGGGCAAGGTTAATACAGGCTTAGTTTGCAGAATGGAGAACTGATTGAGGAGTGTGTATTAGAAAGTCATCTGGGAAAACAAATGTCAGAAGATCTCTGAGAGAGGGGCACCAGGAAGGGTGCTAGGTGATTTCATCCGGCCTGTGACCAAGGCAGGTCCCAGTGCCGATCATGTCCAAGTCTGCTTCTGGGCCACACTCTCACACATAAGCTCCGGGGTGATTCATCTCAGTGCCCTCTTATGCAAGTGGTGTTATTAAATTCCCCAAAGATTCTTCAAATTCATGATGTCACAAACTGATAGCTTTTCCTTTGCCAGTCTGGGCTGTTCTTCAGGGAATGGTACCACCAACCGCCCATGCATGGCACCGGGACAGCCTGCTCTCCTGCTGTGTTGTCGTGCCCTACTCGCCTCAGGTTGCTGTCCCTCATGGAGAAGCTGCCCAGCATCCTTGGTGGTTTCCTAGGTTCCAGACTGATCTTGCTCAAATCAGTTTTGCACACTGCCCCAAAGGGCCAGGTAGAAGCAGGGGGTGCCTTGTGATCTTTCCTGGGTACCAGTCTGATTAAACACTTCCCTTGCAGAATTGACCTCCATTCCCAGATTTTTGTTATTGTTTTTTAGTTTTGAGCTAGGTTCTCATCAAATCACTAAGTTGCTCAGGTTAGGCTTGAACTTGTGAGACTCCTGCCTCGGCCTCCCAGAGTGTTGGGATTACTGTCATGAGCCACTAGGACCAGACACTAATTGGTCATTAATTTCCACCTGGCACCTCTTGCATTTTTTTTTTTTACCTACAAGTATCCCCACTATTCTTGATCCTCCTCTCACCTTCCAGGAAGCAGCTTGGTCTGCAGCAAAGCCTTTTCCACCTCAGCCCTGAGCACTGCCCAGGGCCCCTTCTGTGTCCCACAGCTCCCTTTGCTCACCTTTATCATGACTGTTGTGGACCTGAAGCAAACTGCCTGTGCATTCATCTAGCTCGTCTCTTAGATGAAGATAGCCAGTACAAGAAAACTGCTTTGTTCACCTTTATAATCCTATTAAGTAGCAGCAAGCTCTTTGTTTAAAACAAATCTGAGTATAGTTCAGTAGTAAAGTGCTTTCCTAGTATGCAGGGGGCCGTGGGTCCAATCCCCAGTACCACAAAAATAAACCCATAAATGGTAGTTACTATCTCCTTTCCTTACTTCCTACTGCTGTCCCGTGTCCCTTACCAGTTAAAAATCTCAGTTCCCCTCTGGTGCCAACTGTATTTTGCTTTTGCATCTTTGAACTCACTGTTGTTCCCTGAGGCTGAAGGACCCTCACCTCCTTGGCCATCTCCATCTTGCTTTGCCCTCCCAAGTCTTGGAAACTGAGAGAAAATTCCCTTCTCAGTGTAGTGCATATTAAACACCTAGCACAGGTCATGTTGGTTTGGGGTCTAAAATGCCATTCATTTAAATGGAGCTATTGGAAGAATGTGCTAGATAACCTGCAATTCTCCCTACTTGGGCTGCTTTGGCAGCTGTGCTGTCTTCCTTAATAGACTCCAGGAAAATCCCGGTGGCCCTGGGATCCCAGATCTGAACTCACCCAGGTCATCTGTGGAAGGCTCGATATCAGCCAGAACTGAAAAGGCACAAAACAGCAGGTGTGAGGAGGGCTTTGGACTGCAAGGGGGAAGGGAGGGGAGGACAAAAAGAGTGGAGATGCAGGGCAAGGGCAAGGCCACGGCAGCATCTATGGGCCATGTCCAAGGGGATCGAATTCACTGACACTAGCTGCAAAGGTGTTTTGAGGAACACCGGCCCGGCTGATGTTAAACTAAGTTCTGGAAGCCTTTATTACCCATGCCTTATTTTAGCTATGCATCTACTTTGTTCCATTGAGAGGGCCGGGATGTCTCTCTTTCCTCCTATTCCACTGTCACTGAACAACATTCCTGCAGCCTTTTTGGGCAGAACTAAGATCACAGAATTAATTCAAGAGCTGAAATAAATACTGTGACTATTAGTAAAATCAAGTCTTTTTTTTTTTATGGACTCGCATAAAACTTACCTGTTTCATCAGTAGATGGATCATTCACCAGATCTGCAAAGACACAAAACAAGAAATGAAAACTGTAGGTCGGAAAAGCAGCTAACAGAAGAGGACAAAAGGATGATTATCTAAAAGGAGACAAGAAGGATAGAAACTGCTTCATGCAGATGACTGGGAAGAAATGGGAGAGGCAGTAAGAGACGTGTTCACAGCACCGGTGGCCTCTAAGGTGGACAGGAGCTCACAGTGCCCACCAAGGTCTCGCAGTCTTGTGCTCACTTCTGCAGCGCATATACTAACATTAGAACAAAGTTCTTGCAGTCTTTATTTTCCTTTGGGCAGATACCTCCCTCAACCCTTCTGTCTCCACTATGACAGCAAATAAACAAAGAGGCAGCTTACTAGGATCATCTGTGAATGTTTCTTCAGTCACATCATCTGAAAAGAAATCAGAAAGCATTTTCTGAGAATTCTCTATCCCCCTCCACTCCTGTACTTCTTGAAATGGGACTTGTCTAGTGCAGCACCCAGCAGAGATCCCACACCTGTTTTTCCTTATCTGTCTGCAATAATTACAATGGACTGATGTCCTTTAGGTGATACTTACATAAAATTAAAATTGCTGATAGCAAATACCCTGAATATTATATATATATATATATATATATATATATATATAGTGCCAAGAATGGGACCTAGGGCCTTAAACAGAGTTGCTGAGCACTTGTTCCACCACTGAACTACCTCCTCAGTCCACTGTGTCACAGTAAAAGTGAAATAACAAGGCAGTGTTATCCAGGCAAGGTGGTGAGCACCTATATTCGGGGCTGAGGCAAGTGGGATGCCATAAGGTCAAAACAGCCTGCAAGCCGGGGACTTAGCCTGCCTGCAAGCATGAGGTCTTGAGTTCGATCCCTGGTTAAAAAAAAAAAAAAAAGACCAGCCTGCATGTCATAGTGAATTCAAGGCCAGCCTGAACTACATTTGAGAACCTCATTCACAAAACAACAAAGCAGTATTAATAATGCATCATATTTAAGTCTACTTTGTTTTTATTTATTTGTGCATACATATGTGTGTGTTTGTGTGAGTGTGTGTGGTACTGGAAATCAAACCCAAGCCCTGGATATGCCAGGCAAATTCTTTTTTTTTTTTTTTTCTTTTGTCTTTTTTGTTTTTATCGGTACCAGGGATCGAACTCATGACTGCCTGCTTACAAGGCTTATGCCGCTGAGCTAAATCCCCAGCCCCTGCCAGGCAAATTCTTTACCACTCAGCTACACCCCAGCCTAACATTTCACTGCATTTTTAAGTATATGTATTCTTGTTGGATGTATTTTGTTAAGGTGTACATGTTTTGGTATTCATAAACAAAATAACAATTACTACAGTAAAGCAGTCAAGTTAATATACCTATCTTGTCATGTGTGTTTGTGTGTGTGTGTGTGTGTAAGAGAGAGCATGCACACCTAAAACGCCCGCAAACTATCTTGTTAAATAACGTTTAATTTTTTGTTTTCCTTCTGTTGAGACAAAAGTTTTTCTATTCAGCCCATCCTGACCTTAAATTTGGGGTCGTCTTCCTGCCTCAGTCTCTCAAGTGCTAAGATTACAGAACAGCTCCACCCTTGTTTAAACACTACATTTAGCAAATATTCATTTGCAATTAACCTTCAGTTTAGTGTAGTTTGTAGTCATAATCCATTTTTTCCACTAGAGGTCAGCAAATTGATAGTTTCCTTTAACTCTTCGGAGTCTAAAAAAAGTTATTTTTATACCGCAACGGAATTCACAACCTCAAGCATATCAGGTAGGCATTTGAGCTGCTGAGCTAAGCCCTGGCTAAACTCAGATTTAAATCTACTGAGAATAAACATTTTCATAAAGGCGTGTCAGTTATGGGTAATTGCCCGAGAGGTGCAAGTAAAGCATTCCAGTGTCCTCTGCTTGTCTTTTTGTATTTTTTCCCCTCTCTAAATTCCAGATACAATAGATAGATACTTTTTCTTCTTTTTCGGTGCTGAGGGTGGAACCCAGGGTCTGGCACACGTTGCACATCTGGTCTGATCAAGCACTAACTGCTCTGCCACTGACTACGCCCCAGCCCTCGGCCCATCTTGAACACTCAGGATAAGCGTCCTTCCAGAACAGCTTTTGCTAAGAGGAATCCACATCTGTTCCAATCCTGGTGTAGGATATTTGAAAAATCACTGACCCGCATCGTTCTGGAGACTAAAAGGTGGTGAAACTCCGGGAGGACTTCGACCCCTCCCAGTTCCTTCCCTTGTGGAGGCGTCGCGGGTCCAACCCAGTGACCAAGCAAGAACACGGCGCTGCGGAGCTGCGGAGCTGCGGGTGGAAGTGCGTCCAACCTGGACATCGGCGCGGAGCACCGCCTTTCTGCACGCTCTCAGGTAAACCAGCTCCCCCCCCACCCCCTCCCGAGCTCCCACCAGGAGAGGATTTAGCGGTCTTGGTAAAGGAAACTTGAACCATTTTCATCATAAGCTAAATTGTTTCTGCTAGAAAAGCCTCCTAAACTCATAAAACAGGACTGGTCTTTTTAGCCCACCTGGAGAAATCAGTTCAGATGTTTAGTTTGGCTTGTGTTGAAATCTTACCTAGGTTCACAAAATCAAGCTGTTTCAACTAACAGCAGAAAAAAAGATTTCGTTTCTACATTTTTATCCTTTTTGTTTTTTTTCAGGACTTCAGGACCTTCACACTGAGCCACCTCCGTTTTTATTTTTTGAGACAGAGTTTCACTAAGTGACTAAATTGCTCATGCTGGGTTTGAACTTGTGATCCTCCTGCCTCAGAATGCTGGGATTACAGGCAGAGGCCACCATATTGGGCTCGTGTTTATCTTCTGTAGCAAGACTTGCAGCAATAAATACATATTACATTGGGTCCACGGGGCACAGTGGCACACACCTGTAATCCTAGTACCTGGGAGGCTGAGGCAGGAAGATCACTGCAGGTTCAAAGCCAGTTTAGGTTACATACTGAGTTCAAGGTCAGCCTGAACCATATAATGAGACTGTCTCATAATAATAATAATAACAACATCAACAACAATAATAATTGGGCCCTACATGCAAACACATGAAACTGAAACAAAATTTTATAAAACAATACATCATTTCTGCATAACACATACAACACATTCTGATATATGTCTTAGTTTTATTTTAATTTGTTAAAAAATCGTGACCCACTAAATGCTTTTGTGACCCTTTAGGGGGTTCCGTACCGCTGTGCTGAATCTTTTAATTCCCAAGGCCTGGGAGAAGGAAAGAGACAAAGTAGGATTATGCAGAAAGCTTTCAGGCAGGGTGGAGTTTCCCTCATCAGAAGGAAAAGGTCCCTTGGGAGCTGAAACCACCAGTTCTGTCCAGTTGTGCACAAGTTCACTGTAGTACCAAAATGACTGTTTACTCTTTCTCTGCATTTTACTTTTTCCACTGTTGCACGGGTAGAATAGTGCTTCCTGAGATGTAAGGATGCAGTTCAGTGATCACCCAGCATAAATAAGTAAGTAAATGAATGAATAAATAATGAGTGAATGAATGAACTTTCCCACTCTCACTCCCGCCCCTGGTACTGGAGATCGAATCCAGCATCTTTGCACTGAATTACGATTCCCAACATGTTTTCTTTTTTAATTATGAGACATGATCTCGCTAAGTCGATACATTGCTCAGGCTTGGCTGCAATTTGCAATCCTCCTCTCTGGGCCTCTAAGAGTGCTGGAATTATAGGTGTGAGCCAGCACACCTTGCACTCCAAATGATCAAACTTATGACCTCATGCTTACCAGGTAAGTGCTTGAACCACAGAGCTAAATTCCTGGCCATCAAATGATTTTTTAAAAAAGCACTGGGATGTCACTCAGTGACAGAGCATGTGTGAGGCCCTGGGTTTGATCTCCAGACAAGACAAGGTTTTACCAGTGGGATAACAGGATTGTGGAAACTGCTGAAGTGGATCCTGTTTCTCCTGCCTTGGCCATGTAGGTCTCTATCCCAGCACATATTTTTTAGCTTGTACAGTTCATCTACACTGTCCTGGTAAGAACCCCAACACAGCCCATAGCCAAGGCTTCACCTACCTTGTTGCTGACCGCTGACGCCTGGGGTTATCCAGCCTGCGGCAAAGGAAGAAATCGGGTGTGAGTGACCGGAGCTCCATACCCAGAGACCCTGTGATGAGAGGAGCCAGAACATGAAGGAGAACCAGCTGCACATTACCATTGTGGTGTCAGTCTTGAGCTTAAAGTTTACTGTGCTCAGACTGCTGGCGGTGTGTGCAAAGTAACTGAAGTACACATTCCTGAGAGCAGCACTGGACTCTGTGGGGTCCTGAGCAGGATGCCCCCTCACCCCCACAGAGCTCTCCTGCTTTCCTATAGCTCCCCGACTGAACAAGGCAAACAAACTGCTTTTCAGTCTCCACAAGGCAGGAGGGAAGAACAGCAGGATTTCTTTGAAGTCCAAGTTAATCTCAGTGGCCACTCTTCTAACCAGTGAAATCCGTGAAGAAGTTTTTCCTTTTGTGGGCAGGGCATGTACCCCTGGTGTGTGGGTGAACACACCTGTCTCGTGTTTGCTGAGTGTTGGGGCAGGCGTTCCCACTGCTTTCCTGCAGGATTCAAATCTGGCCCAGGCTCCTATCAGGTGGTCTTTCCATGTGCAGGCACCTTTGTGCGCCAGCTCCTCTTCCCCAAACGTGTCCCTGGGAGTCCTCATGTGTCTCAGCTTCCTCTCAGGGTCACAACCTTCAGATCGTTGGTCCCAAATCAAGGGTGATCGGCAGTCACTGTGCTGCACGGCTCCTGGGACGCCAAGCCTGTTCTTTCCTTCTCTTTAGCAGCTGTTCTAGTGTTCAGTACCAAGCCTATTTCTCCTCATCCCCAACCTCTGTCCTCCACCCTTCTTAAACACAGCTCCCCACGCATGTGACCAAGGAGCCCACGGACTGGGGCAAAGTGGATACATGGGAGGACTTACCAGAGGGGACGAGGAGTGCTGTGAGAAGCAGCAGCGTCTTGGGCCGCCTCGAGACCAGCATCTAAGTTAGGAGATGGCAGAGGGCAGAGTGTGACCCCAGGGGTGCAGGAGTCCCACCCAGGGAGCCCCATCTGTCTCTGTCCTCTATACCAGGAGCCTTTGTGGTTTCTTTTAAAGACTCAAACCCTCTTTTTTATATTTCATTCAACATTTATTTCTTCCTCAGTTCTGTTTTTTTGTCACTTTCCTTTATTGTCACTCTTTACTACTGAATTAGAGGATTTTGTTTTTTGAGACAGAGTCTCACTGTATTTCTCAGGTTTGTCTCCTTATAGGAGCCTGGGTGCAAGCAATCCTCCTGCCTCAGCCTCCTGAGTAGCTGAGATTACAGGAAGTATCATCATCATACCTGCATTCAGAAAGACGTTCATATTCTAAACAGTTCCTTCTTGGCCCTACCTGATGGCCTCTTCCTCCTTAATGTCTAATCTTTCTTTCATGTATCAGTGTCTTTTTCACAGTGTCTACTTCATCTTGCCGTCTCTGTCATTTGAATTCCATGGGTGATCAGGGCAGGGGTCTGCTCTGTTCTGATCTGAGGCAAAATACACACGCACACACACACACACACACACACACACACACACACACACACATGCTCTCACTCTGGGGTGTTAATCAGGACTCACCCTCTCCGCACTGTGTTGTTTGCTGAGTCCTGTGCTGCTGCTGACCGAGTGGAGTCCTCTGCACTCTGCTGCACTTGGGCTTGGACTGTGATGAGCGGAGCCCCACCCTGGGCAGGATTTGGATTTGGCCTACTCTGCAGCAGTGGGAAGGGAGAGGGAGCCGGGCTGGACACACAGAAGGCAGAGTCACTGCGGGCCCCACGGAAGGAGTGGAATGCAGAGCCTCTCATACCCTACGCCAGAGGGCTGAGCACACCAGAGAGGCACGTGCCCTCCACGCCAGCCTCTTCCTACTCTCGCTAGCCCCCACTGACCCTTCCACTACTCTACCACCCCCCTCCCCTCCTCCCCTTCCTTCTTAACTAAGTGGTCTGTGGCATCACTATAATTGGTTTACAACTTTTCTTTCTTTCTCTCTCATCTCTCTCTCTCTGTCTCTCTCTCTCTCTCTCTCTCCCTTTATCTCCCTCTCTCTCCCTCTTTTCTTTTTTTGAGACAGGGTCTGTTAGTTCAAGCCAGTCTTCAGCTTACTATGTAGCCCAGGCTGACCTCAAACTTGCAATGATCCCTCTGCCTCAACCTCCTGAGCACTGGGATTACAGATGTGTGTCACCATGCTTTGTGCTTTCTCCTTTCTTTGAGACAGGGTCTCGATTGGTAGCCAGGCTGACCTCAAACCTTCTGGGATCAGAGCAGTGTGCCATTGTGCCTGGCTCTTTCTCCCACATCTGAATCATTCCTCTAATCTCCTTCCTGGCACTTTCTCCACCATCCATGTTTTGTTTTGTTTTGTGTTGCTTTTTTTTTTTTTTTTTTTTTTTTGGTACTGGGATTAAACCCTGGTGTTTTGCAATATGCAATGTCCCCAGCTCTTTTTTAAATTTTTACGATAGACTCTCACAAAATCTCTCAACTGCCCAACTGGTCTAAGAATTGCAATCCTCTTTTAAAATTATTTTACATTTTATTTTATTTATTTATGTTTGTCTTTTTTTTTTTTTTTTTTTTTTTTGTACCAGGATCGAACTCATGACTGCCGTTTGCAAGGTAGGCCCTTATGATGCCGCTGAGCTAAATCCCTAGCCCCCAGTGTTAGTCTTTTTGAAACAGGGTCTCACTATGCAGTTCAGTCTGGCCTTGAGCTCACTTGGTAGTCCAGGCTGGTCTAGAACTCACAATAATCCACCTGCCTCAGTCTCCCAAGTGCTGACATTACAGGTGTGCACCTCCATACCCAACTGTCCCAGGGTTCTAAGATTACAGACATGTCATCACATCTGACAGTCTTTCTTTCTTTCTTTTTGGTGCAATAAGGTCTCGCTATGTAGTTCAGGTTCACCATGAACTAACTCTCTTTGCAGTCCCGACTGGCCTTGAACCTTTGGTGAGCATCCTGCCTCAGTCTTCCAAGTGCTGTGGTTACAGGCATACACCATCAATGCCCAACTTTTTGATTTTTTTTTTCTGAAACAAGGTCTCACTATGTAGTTCAGGCTGCCCATACTTCATTATGTAGCCCAGGCACTCAGTGATCCTCCTGCTTCAGCCTCCTCAGTGCTAGCATTATAGGCAGGTGCCACCACATGTAGCTCTGTCCTTCTCCTAATGCCAAAAAAGTCATGTTCCTTTACTTCTTTTCTTAATTTTTTTCTTTCTTGTGCTAGTGTCTCACACATTAGGCAAACATTCCCCCACTGAAACACATTCCCAGCTCCTACTTCTTTCTTGACCCCACATTTAGATCTTCGATTTTACCCCTGGGAATAGTCTATTTATTCTCATATCCAACCAAACAGATATCATTGAAGAGAAGGCTGTCTGTCTTTGAGTTATAAAGAGTTGAGGCAGTCAGAACTCTCAAATGTGGAGCCCCTCCACGAGATGCCAGCTTTACTTTGTCTTTGGCTTTATTTAGGCTATGACTATGGTCAGGCTGTTTTTGCTATGCATCTTAGAGTCTGGAATCTGAAAGTCAAAATTTCATAAGAAGCCCAAAGACAAATTGGGAGACCAGTTCATTCTGCTTGCCTCCCTGTCTATCAGTATTTTTCCTCATGTCATGTATAGGTAACACTCTCTGATCCTGGAATTTCCAAGTCTTTGTATTTGCTCCACTTCCTGTCAGACCATCAGAGCTGGTTTGGAGGAAATGAACTTGAACTTGAAGCTCAGGTCTGAGGAGTGTTTAGCAGACGTGTGTGCATTCCAAGTCACCTGCCAGCACTTGTGTCTACATCGTGAACCTCCCGGCTGAGGTAGATTAGGGAAGAGAGCAGGCAGCAGAGAGCTGCTGGTACAACACATCGCTACCGGAAGCAAGAAAGAGACAGCAGTGGAGAGAAGGGAAGAAAGAAGAAAGGAAGGGTTAGTGTGGAGAAAAGGACAGCAATGGATATGGAAATAACAAATGCCCACGCTCCTCGGAGCCAGGCTGAAGTGTCCCATCTTGGGGAGCTGGGTTCTGGTCCAGCCCCAGAATCAGTCTGAGGGCAGATCCCTCGCTGCCTGCTGAGCCGCCAGGCCTTCCTCTCTGCTCCACAGGGCAGGGGCAGAGTTGGGGAAACAGATGTGATTCAAGCCCGGGAAAGCCAGGGCAAGAGAAGCCTGGGGCAAGAAGTGAGGGAGAAACAAACAAACAAACAAAGGAAAGGCAGATGCAAAGCAGAGCTAGGCGGGACCTAGAATGGAGCCAAGCTCATGTTTTCCATGAATCTCAGACAGCTGGGGAAAATGAACTTGGGCGAGTACTTTGGCAGAGACAGCAATGACCTCAATGCGCTGGCCCGGCTGGGTCTGCGGGGTAGGAAATCTCCCCGGGCGGTAGGAGGGGGCGCCCTCCCGGGGTCGGGGAGGAGCCGCAGGCCAGGACCTGGGAACAGCCCTGTCCGGGAAAGGCCGGCCCTGGGCAGACGCACGGGGGGCCGCGAGAGGGAGCAGGGCCGGCGTCCACTCTGGCGGGCTGTGCGGACTTTGGGAGAGCGGGTTTGTTTCCTGGTAGTTGGGGTGACTTTTTGATGGCACCCGCTGCGGCCCTTGTCTGCTAGCTCAGCTCCCCGCTTGTTTGCAGGTTCATTTTTCTCAGGGTGATTTGGTCGGCTCTGTTCTGGCACAGTATTTATCATTTAGTTGAATCAAGTCAAAATTAGCTGCAATGCCCAGAAATGAGCGAATGCTATCTAGAGCCGCCAGCCTGTTTCTGAGGTTCCCGGTGAATGAGACAGTGCCAAAGCACTGACTGGGGGATCAATTCATAAGCTACGTTTCAGTTACCCAGGATGTGAGGTTTTAGAAAAATTCTGTTGAAAGTGTGTGAATCGTAATTGAGCCTCCCCAGTTCATTGTCATAACCAGCCAGAAATTTAATAATAAAAAAATCAGTAAAGATACAAGAAATGGTTAAGAGTTTAGAAAGAAATGTTCTGTGGCAAAGGAGTCCGATGCAAAGAGAGGCTGAAATGGGAGACAGCAAGCTGGCTTTCTACATCTGCTTTTTGCCTGTAAAGAATACACCCATTAGTTGAAAGCCTCCGGGCAAACGTACAGACATTTGACTATGGTCTGATCCAACTAAATTAAATTCAGGGGCTAAACACAAAAATTCCCATAAAAGGAAGGAAAAGATAGAGGGTTCAATGGGGCGGGAAGGGAGGGAGTGGCGCCTGCCAAGCCTGGAAGCCATGAAACAGTAAAGACCAAAGGCAAAAGGACCCTGGATGCCCACAGACATTTGTCCTCAGGACATTTGAGTCAGGAAAACTTTGACCATGGGGTCCAATTTTGATGTTGTCTCCTCTCAAAAACCTCTTCTGACCCCCCCCCCCAAGCTAATCATTCTCTCTCCTGAATTGACTCATTTATTTTGCAGTCTCATCATCTTTAGTCATCTGTTATGGGGTTTATCTCATTCTCTGTTAGGCTGTGAATTCCCTGGTGGTGGAGGCTGAGTCTTACTCAGTCCTTGCTTACATAATGGTTCAGTGCATGAGAACTCAAGAAGTATGTTCAACTGAATCGAAATGCAGACTTGAAACAGTACCTTCCCATTTATGAGACATAAACTTTCAAAAATTTAATCACATGGAATGGTGGAATATAAAGTTTTAAGGAAGCAATATGAGATGCTGAACCACTTTACAAGAGAAGAGAGAAAGGAATGGGCCAACTGAAAGCAGAGGTATTGGGTAACAGCTATGCTAAAAGCTAAGGTATAGGGCAAGAACATTGAGTGAAAAACAAAATTAATATCTGTGGTATTAGCCCTTCTAGAGCCAGGTGTGGTGGCACATGCCTGTAATTCCAGCCTTTCAGAAACTGAAGAGGAGAATTGCTGCAAGTTTGAGGTCGGCTTAGGCTACAAAATGAGTTCAAGTCCAGCCTGAACTACAGAGTAAGACTGGCTCAAAGAACAAAACAAAACTATATATATATATATAAAACTATAAAACTTCTGGCTAATTACCTTCTTTGTGTAAATTTTTTTTTTTTGTCTTTTTCGTTTTTATCAGTACCAGGGATTGAACTCACGACTGCCTGCTTACAAGGCAGGCGCTTATGCTGCTGAGCTAAATCCCCAGCCCCTGTGTAAATTTTCTGATGGCACTGATTTTCTGATGATAACTTGCAGTTACTCTCATACTTCCTTGTTAGTGAAAATCTAAAATGTTTGATCCAGATTCAAGATTACACTGAGGTTCCTGAAATAGAATCTTCAACAACAAAAAAATCTAAATAGCTCTGATAAGTTGGCTAAAAACAGGACAAAGAGCTGGGCATGTACAAGTATACCTGTAATTCCAACACTCAGAAGGCAGATACAGGAGGATTACTGTGAGTTTAAGACCAGCCTGGGCTACATAATGAAACCCTGTTTGAAAAACAGAGCACAACAAACCAACTCTTGTTCTGGATATGATGGCACATGCTGGTAATCTCAGCTACTTAGGGGGGCTGAGACAAGAGGATCACAAGTCTGAGGCGATCCTGGGCAACTTGGTGAGATCCGGTCTCAAAAGTAAAAGTAAAAAGGCCTGGTATGCAGATCAGTGAAACAGAACCTCTCAGTTTAATCCTCAGTACCCTCTGGCCTGTTGGCTTGTTGGCACTGAGATAAATCAGTGGCAGTGTTGTGGTCTGTCCTGTGGAGAAGCCCTGGTAGTCAAGAACTGATGCCTCAACCAGGAGCCCAGAGATCAGCCTGCCCGAGCCCATGGAGTGAGTTTGGAAAGAGGTTGTCTTGCCTGTCAGGCCTGAGGAGATCA